AAGAGTGTAGATTTAGATGGGCCACATGGAGCAATGTTTTACGATGATGGTGGTGAGACATTGGAACAGGCTGCCCAGAGAGCTTGTGTATACCCCCCATCCCTGGAAGTGTTCAAGGCTAGTTTGGACAGGGCTTTCAGCAACCTGATCTAGTGAAAGATGTTCCTGACCATGGCAGAGAGTTTGGAACTAGATGATCTTTATGGTCCGTTCCACCTAAGCCTTTCTATGATTCTATGAAGAAGGATATGGGAAGAAACAAAATGGGGATGAGAGACCAGAGGGGGAGAGGCTGGTGGGGACAGAGGACTCCATTCAAAATGCATCAGCTGATGGAAAACTGCCACAGTATTAACAGCTGTATCTAACACTTTTTTTCTTCTTGTAGGTCCCCCCTCAGCTCCCCGCAATGTCAGCTTCTCCCTTATTGGCACACAGCTGAGTCTGTGGTGGCAGCCACCCAGTGACCAGGGTGGGCGCAAGGACCTGACTTACACAGTCTTCTGTCAGCGCTGCCATTTCCTGTCATGTGAACCCTGTGAGGCTGGTGTGGTGTTCTCCCCCAGTGCTTCTGGTCTCACTAAACCTGCTGTGGATGTGGATGGCCTAGAAGCTTACACCAACTACACATTTGCCGTGGAAGCCCTTAACGGTGTCTCAGGAATGGGACCTGCTCCACAGAGAACAGCTCCAGCTGTCTGGGTCTCAGTTGGACATGCAGGTTAGCAGAAGCAGAGAGAAGTTCTTCCTGCACATTGTGAAAAGGAAGGGGAATCTCTCTGAATGTTTAAGCTTTCTCCATCCTCTCCTGTCTACCACATGTTGGTATGGGATGTTAAGGATTCTAAAGTACCTCTGCCTCTGGCATGTAAAGTCCATCAGTCATATTCCTTGCAAGTCAAAGTAGCCATCAAGAGCTATGAATCCACAAAGAACTTAACAGAGACAGAGAGGATGAAGCCCTCCCTCATACAGTGATGTAGTCCAGCCTAAGTGTTGCTCCCTGTGTGACAGGAAGAATGAGGACTGTGTCATGAAATATTTCCCATGGCTCAGATATTGCAAAGAATCTGACCAAACACAACAGAAACCCTGCTGAAACTGAAAAAAAAAAGTTTTAAAGGCATGGAGAGATGAGGATGTTAAAAATGTGGAAGTTCCTGACTCATTTCTGTAGCTTAGCTTCAAGCCAGCTAATTTGGCTGTCCTGTGAAAACTTCCCAGCGCGCTGTGAAATGCGATTATAGAAAAGTGACATCACAGTGCTCAACAGCCCTTTGTCACTAATTTAGTGACAAAATAGGACTTTTCTTCCTGATGCTGTGTGAGGGCAGCACAACTCTGAGCTAGAAAAGCAGAGCTAGTTTTGGCTTGCCTCATCACTTCCTGGTGATAATGAAGGACAAGGAGAGAGCCACACTTAACTCTTCAGTCCTTGCAGACTCTTGAGAATTATCTTTTTATTCATGAACAGCATGCATTTGCAGTCAGCTGAGAGATTTTGAGCATTGAGTTTCACAGTACCCTTATGCAATGGAGCTGCATTCATAAATCATGACATGGGATAGTTGTGCTCCTGCTGCTGTAAGAGCATTAAGTCCTAAAATTTTTATTTCAGATTGGATGCTTTCAGTGCAGTCCTGGATTAAATGTAATTTCTTGGAACACTGATTTTGTTTTGAGGGCCAAACAAAGTTATTCTTCCACTGTTGAGGCAGAAGCATACTGTTCACGGAAAGCAACTAATGACAACCGGAGACCTCATTTCCCTTTCAGCACAGAAGAGAAAGATGAGGGAGTGGCAGTGGCAATAAGAGTCAGTTCCAGTTGCATAGTATGACCAGAGAAGGAAAGAGAGAACTTCTGGTGGGGACAAGACCTTGTTTGCATTATGTTTGTATTTCTTCCTTATGTCCTCTCTTCTCTCCCCTGCAGCTCCGGTGACAGTATCCCAGTTTGTCCTGACACAAAGAGATGACAGTAGTCTTTCTGTTTCATGGCTTGCCCCATGGCAACGCAGTCGAACCTCAGTGGAATATGAGGTCATGTTCTTTGAGAAGGTAATGCCTGCCTTAATTGTTTTTCCCCTTTTCACCCAAAGGCGTGGAAGTGTCCATTTGTTCTACATGTATTTGCTACTTAGCCCTGTTTGGTTTCTGCAGGGAGAGGAGACCCGTTACACAGTGAAGCACCTTCTTGAGCCAAATGTCACTCTGAGAGATCTGCAGCCAGACACAGCCTACCTGCTTCGTGTGAGATCCATTACACCCCTCGGGCCTGGGCCCTACTCCCCAGAGCAGGAATTCCGCACCCTTCCACCAGGTAAAGGACAAGCGCTGGTATCTCGCTTGGGAGAAACTCACTTCTCTATCAGATTGTGTATTTGCATGGTACACGGATCTCTTTTTGTGTTCTGCTGGCTGTAAGGCACAGACACCACACTCCTGAGTTCCTGTCACCAGGGCCAAGCCTGTTTCTCTGTAATGACAAAAGGCATTTTTCCTGTTTCCTTGCTGTCATATAAAATTCACTTGTGCTTTCCTGTTCAGACATGATCAGTCTCAGGTCTGTGTGTTCTACTGGCACAATAGTTAACCAAGTCTTTGTCTAGTTTTCCTGAAAGACATTTTGGTTCTATCTAATGTTTCTAAGTATGAATGTTAGCCAAATAATTGCCATATGCCTCCTTTTGTGTTCAAGTTACTAGTGAAAAGGAGAACTCAGAGAACCTCAACACTATTTTTTCCAGCTTTATCATTTCTGCTGTATGTAGTTCAGCCCCTGAATGCAGCTGTGCTCCAAAAGCTGGTATGTGCCACTGAAAAAAGTTCTCCAGCAAAGCACCATGTGTAGAAGGCCAAGACACTGAGGCCACAAGAAGACCTGTCTCCTGTATCAAAGAATGTGTCGTATAGGCCTTACATCCAACCTCCTCTTTCCTTGGGTTACCCAGAGGCTTCCACTTTTTCAAAAGGAGAGTTTGCTCACTCTTCATTCCACAGATTCACAGATCCTCCTATTGACCCTAAGGATAATTTTAGAAATATATCCATTCAAATGATGCATTTGACAGGCAAGTTTTATTGTAATGAAATAAGGACATGAACGAAAGCAAAGACATACCTTAATGTAACTAAATAGTTCAATTAACAGTGTAAAAGCTGATGAGGAGTTGTGATACCATGACTGGAATATAAAAATTCAGCTCTTTTTGGCACCAGGAGCTTCTGCTAAAATTTTCATGAAGTCACAGTGTCAAATGTGATGATAACATAAATGATCTTCAACTAATATAATAATGTACTACGAAGGCTTTGTGAAGAATATGTAATGTACAATTACAAAAATATGCATGTAAAATTGTTTTTATTATGAAAGAATATGTTAAAAAATACTTTCATCAAGGTTATGCTTTATTTCAAGTAAAAGTTGATCACCTCATCATGCCAAGACAAAGGTATTTTGAATGTGAAAGGGATTAAAAAGAAGTGCTAGCAAGGTTTCATTTGGTGAGAGTTCTTTGGTAATTGTAGAAACATTGTTTAGGTGTAATGGTTTAGAGATATTAGTGGGACAGGATTTGCAAAGAGAGCCATTAAAAAAAAAAATCTGAATTTGAGAATTTAGATCCATTAGTTTCCTGCAGAAGTGCTAAGTATTTAAAAGCTCATCCCTTTTATTAATAAAAGATATTATTTCACCTTCCAAATCTTGACTTTTTGATTTTAACAAAACAAGGACGTTAGCTCTGCCTCTTGATTTCTGCTTAACTAAGCTGGTGATTTTTAATTATTTTAGTGGGATGAGTCAGCATCAAATTGAGCAAGAATAACAAGTGTTAATTAAGCTTTATGGATGCTGACCATCAGACTGAATGTTAGGAAACACTTCCATACGCAGTTCTCTGTATCACACAAGCTGTTCCTTGCTTTAAAATCTGCTCATTTATAGAAAAAAATATTTAGGGATATTTTTTTCTCCTAAATGTTTTTCTGAATCTCTTTAGGGACTAAAATATTAAAAATGTAGATTCTCGTTAGACATGGATATGAATTAATGTATTTATAAGTTTTTAAAATATTTTTTTAAGTTATGGGAAATAAGGTTTAAAAACACCAAGAGAGGTCATTTAGCATCTCCTCTGATGAATTCAGATATATTGCATGGAAATGGCTTTAGCTTTAGCTTGAGAACCTATTGGAAGAAGACAATCTGTGTTATGTGAACACTATCTGAATGCTATACCCAACCACAAAATGAAACCACCTGAAGCTTAGTTTTGAGAAAGCAGGACTATGATGTTAGGCTGCAAGTTTGTAAGTCAGTACTTGCTTGTTTCAGAAGTCCTGAGCAGACAGGAGCTTGTAATTAGCCAAAGAACCAACCCCAGATATTGATGGAAAGGGAGGGGGTAATTAATTTCCTGAACAAGAAGTGGGTCAAGTTACTGTCTTTGCTATGCCATAGTCTAAATCAGCTACCAAGCTGAAAGAAGGGTCTCATCTGAAAGGATTGTTGGAGAGGAGTGAGAGGGAAGGAACAGCTATTCTTCATTTTTGAAAGTGTCATGCAGTTTTTGTAGGAAATCAAACATAGGGATAAATTACTCAACTAGAAGACAAAGGCTGTCAACCAGATAACCACCAGAAGGTGCTCCATGCACACGAATAACAGTATGGTAGGACTCAAATCTGGAGGCTCTGCTGCCTGGAGGACAAATGGCTGTAACTTAACTAATACCATTAATTGGTAGAAGCTACATTCCGGACAAATAGATCTTGGTCTTTTAAATTATGTGGCCTTTCCCTTCATTTCTGCAGACACAGGAGCTCTGTCTGGTGGAGTCATAGTCTCTATTATCTTTGGAGTTATACTATTTATTGGGCTGCTTCTGGGATTGCTCATCTTTCGGCGAAAGTAAGTATTGATTTTTTGCTATTGAAAAAGGTATAGATATAGGAATAGCTGAGCTATGGGAGCTTGAGAAAGGAAGGCCCTGATTTCTCACAGGATGTTGGATTGGTAGAGGTTAGTTAGAGAAGAAAAAGACCACTGTGCTGTGGCAAGATGGAAAGGGTTTTTTTAGGAATGGAGGGATTCCTGTCTCTAAGATAATGTTTTCTAGTGGGAGCAGAGAAAAATACAATGACTTCTCAGTTTTGTTATAATCAAGCACTATCATACTGTTGTCACGACAGAGTAATAAAAACATTGTTATGATACAATCATTTCTATATTTACTGACCAATTACATGGTAGTTCATGTATCCAGTCATTTCAAACCACTTTCCATATACCATTACTGTCGTGGTCCTCTACCCAGATACAAAATTCTATTTCCTTTCTCAATGTCTATAAGACTGCTATTGCTTAGTTTTAAAAAGATCAGATATTGTACTGAAAGTGTACAGAAAACATAAAATAAACAGAAATTCATCTGTAGGTCAGCACGAAACTAACTGTATGGAAACAGAACTCCATTTCTAAATGTAAATGATGCATTGTATTTTATTGCCAGCTGTACTTTTCCAAGTAGGTGCAGCATCTGGTTCCACTTTGCTCTGTGCTACCCTGAACTCTGTGCCTGACCAACTAGGGCAGACACTCTGGAAGTCTTGCTTTTCTCTTTGCTATCTCCTGACCATTTTATTTTCATGGCTGCTTCTCATGTTCCAGGAGGGCTCATCGGAGACACGCACGGCCAGATTACAATACTTCAGGCTTCGATCGAGGTGAGCTTCAAAGGGGTAATAAAAACAGGGAGAAGCCTGGAATGGGTTGGAAAGAATGAAAAGAAACATTAGTTTCAAACCAGACACTGGCATGGCTTTTCCCTTGTAATTTGCCTCTTCCCACAACAGTTCTACTCTTCAATATGTCTTTGGTAGATTTGTTTACTGCCATTGTCAGAATCCCATGGATTCACTTTTGCTTTTGTGGTTTTGCCTTACAAAGGTTGTCCAAAGAGCTGACAGGTTCAATTGCTCTTTTTATTCCCTTTACAATAGAGAAGGTCTGGTTGAAGCCCTATGTAGACCTTCAGCCATATGATGACCCCAGCAGAGGGGTGCTGGAATTCACTAAGGAACTGGATGCCTCTTGTGTCACTATGGAGAACGTGATTGGAGAAGGTGAATTACTTGTTGCTCTCCCCATCTTTCATTTTCTCCACACTGTTGTTTTGCTGCCTTTTCCTGAGTTACATGACCTTTTGCCTCTGGTTGTCTTCAGGGGAATTTGGAGAGGTCTATCGTGGGTCCCTGCGGCTCCCAGGGAAAGAACGTATCGTGGTTGCCATTAAGACTCTGAAGTCAACATATTCAGACTCGCAGTGGTGGAACTTTCTGCGTGAAGCAACAATTATGGGACAATTCAATCACCCAAACATTGTGCGTCTGGAAGGAGTTGTCACCAAAAGTAAGAGAGTGTGGGAGAGAGTCCTGAAATGAGAGCAGAAACTGCCACATATCTCAGACCTTTCTTAGAGAGTTTGCTGTCAGAGAGGCTGTGCTGCGAGAAGACAGGCATTGTCATGTTATCATATGGCAGAGAATGAGGAAGGAAGGAGCGATATGGATTTCCAACAGAGTCATGAGGCAGTGTTAGGAGATATCTTCTTGGGTTGGTGAGTAGGTGAGAAGTTGGGATAGTGTAAAGGATGCTGCAAGTGACACAACAAGGAGAACAAGATCATTGGGAGAGGTTCAGGAGAAGGGGCATCCAACTGTGCCAGTGGAATGGGGGATGTTAGCTGGGGTTGGACATGGTTCTCTGTGTTGGGGCAATGTGGAGAGCATTGAAAGGCAGGAGGAGGAGAATTTCAAAAAGACTGACATCCTCTTATCTTCCTCAAGGGAGGCCAATGATGATCATCACTGAATATATGGAGAATGGAGCACTGGATACTTTCCTCCGGGTGAGAAACTCCAATCTGTAATAGGCTTGTGTACTGCCAGAACTTGTACTTGACCTGGATTCAGGGTCCTAAAATAAGACTAGAAATAAGGTCCAGACATCCACTTACTTTCTGCTTGCTGACATTTTCGGTCTCAGCAGCTGAAGCCTGATGCCATCCTGTTTGTTCAGTGACCAGAGTCCTGTCTTTCGGTAGTTGAAGTGCAGGTGCCTAATGATGACTCTCTGGAGACCACCACCAGTCCCTTAGTCAGAACCTGTTGGAGCCTTTCGGGTGCAGCATTGCCTTTTTGCTTGTTCACCAATGCTTGCTTTTGTAAGTTGATAAGATCATCGACTAGAAACCAAGCAGATCAATGTCACTTGACCAGGATCTTCTCTCACTTCTTTTACCATGCAGGAGAATGAGGAAAAATTTAGCCCTGTGCAGCTTGTGAGCATGCTGCAGGGAATAGCCTCTGGCATGACCTACCTTTCAGAACACAATTATGTACACCGCGATCTGGCTGCTCGCAACATCCTGGTAACACGCAGTCTCCAGTGCAAGGTGTCTGACTTTGGTCTCTCCCGTATATTGGAGAATGATGCAGAGGGAACCTATGAAACCAAGGTAATGCGTAAGCAATCGTTCTGTCTTGTAAATTGGCTGTAGTCTTGCGGGGGTTAGGATTCTGCCAGGTAAGAATGGTGAAATTTCTTCACAGTAGGAAACACCATATGTCCAGGGAAGACTTGAATGGAAAATCTCTGAGGAAAAAAACCCTGCAAAGTTACAGTGTGGATCATTTAGAAGGTGGTACTATTGTGTCTGGAGTTCATGTTGGTTTTGTTTACTAAGAGATTCAGGATGACTGTGGTTTTAAACTGAGAAGCAAAATAAGAGGTCTGATCTTTTGGACTCAATTAACTAAATCTAGCTTTGAAAATATTAGTGTTGTGATTAGGATTTTGGACTAGAGAGATCCATGTGTCTCTTGCAATGAAAGTTCCAGTGATTCTAATGTGTAGTGTCTTTCAAAGTAGGGCTGTGACTGGTGCCAGGCTCTTACTCCCACAGCCAGTGATTTTGTCCAGCAGTCAGCTGAAGAGAGGGTTTATATTCTTGGAAAGTAAATTAGTTTTTCTGTCCATTTGAGAAATTTCCCTGGGCCAGTCTCTGAACCACTTTGAAGGTGGTGCATGAAAGCACTGGAGAAATACAACTCAATGACACATGTCTCTGCTCTGTCACAGGGTGGTAAGATTCCCATCCGATGGACAGCCCCAGAGGCCATTGCTCATCGGATTTTCACCTCAGCCAGTGATGTCTGGAGCTTTGGAATTGTCATGTGGGAGGTGCTGTCATTTGGTGACAAGCCATACGGGCACATGACCAACCAAGAGGTAACAGACACTGAGCTCAAATGCTGATTAAAAAAGTAAACAAGACATGTAGGCCCAACTTCTGTAGAACCCCCGAGCCTGCAGTCTTGACATTCTTTTGAACACATAACTACTATGTATCCCTCCCTGCTAAAAATCAGTGCAACCAAATCAAGGGCAGCAAGCCCCTTCAGGTGTCATCACTTATAAGCCGATTAAAGAGGGGTTAAATCAGCCATGCATGGCCTTTGCATCTGAATAATTTTCTGTTTGTTTCATCTTCTCCCTCTGGCTCTGGAATATTGTGTCTGGTCTCATTCTAGTCTCAGCACATCTGTGAGATTAGCACATGCTGTTGAAATTGTCCCTCAGAGTCTGGTTCCCCTTTTCTCACATGCCTGTGCCAGGATCATTTGGTCCTCACTTCCCATGAACCCATGTCCTGAGTGGCAATTGGGAGCTAAGCTAGTAAAGGGCTGAAAGTACACGCATATGCTACTTCACTTTTTTGACATCCTTGAGGTGTCCTGATCCTGTGCTCTGCTGCCCAAAACCTGTGTCATCATACATGTCTAATCTGCATCAACCTCTCCCTGATTGTCTGGGGCTCCCACCCCCACAGAAGTCTCTGGCTCCTCTTTCACACTCTGCTCTTGGCTAGATTTCTCTCTGTCCTCTGTGCAGGTGATGAAAAGCTTAGAGGAAGGGTACCGGCTCCCCCCACCTGTGGACTGCCCATCTATCCTCTATGAACTCATGAAGAGCTGCTGGTCGCATGATCGGATGAGGAGGCCTCCTTTTAAGGAAATCAGGGCACAGCTGCAACATTTCATTTCAACTCCCCAGCTCCTCCGGCCTGTTGCAGACTTTGATCCCAGGTAAGCAGGCTGTCCCTGAAAGAAGAGAGGTTAACTGTGAGATTTTTACCTCCCTGTCCCCAGCAGGAGGAGAGGCTGTGCTAGACTGGCAGGAGGCACCTTGAGGGCTCTGTGTGCAGAAGACAGTAGTCATCTCTCTCCCCTGGTGACAGAAAGCATAGCCATTGGCCTGTCTGACCTCTCTGTGCAGAGGGCAGATGAGTTGACCTAGCCCTTCAGCTGTTGTCTCACAGTGCTGGCCATTTAAGATAGTTACCTGGCCAACAAAGGTTTTATCTGTCTCTAGGGTAACACTCCGCCTCCCCAGCTGCAGTGGATCTGATGGGATCCCCTACCGATCCATCCCGGAGTGGCTGGAATCCATTCGCATGAAGCGCTACATCTCCAACTTCCGCACTGCTGGCCTGGACACCATGGAGTCCATTCTGGAGCTCACTGCTGAGTAAGCACAGGCCAAACTCTCTCAAGGCAACTCAGACTGTGCTACAATAGCTATGTCTGCCCCTGTGCTTTCTGAACAGGCACTGATATTTACTTGGAAGGCTTCTCTCCATCCTTCTCTATGTAGTTTAAAGGAAGTGGACTGGCTTCTTGCCCTAAAAGTAAAGAATCAGCCCAGAAGAACTGTGATCAGCCCAAACTGTGAGACTAACTCCCTAACTGTCCTTGTCCATTCTTGGGGCTCTGCAGGGGTCTGAGCAGCTATGAACTCGCATCAGACACAGCAAGGTGAAACAATAGATGGCAACAGTTCTCTAACTTGACCATCTCCCCTTGTAGGGGACTTTTTAAGATAATTTTCTTGCCATGAACTTCATATGGGCAAGTGATATTCCCCCTCCCCTGCCATCAACTAGGCACTGTTCTGTCATAGAGCCCATCTTTCTGGGCTCCTTGGAAGGACCCAAGTCAGATGCTTTACCAACAGCAGCTTTCTGTTGTGGGGTGAAGAATGTACAATCAACTCCAACCAGGGCAGTTACATAAAATACATGAGCAGGCACAGCACAGGCACAGACCTGCTAAAGGGTTGAGATGTGTCCCATTTCACAAGTTGATTTAATCACAAGTTGTGATTTAATGGGAGCACAGGCCTAGTCATGAGGTGGGAGAGGTCATTTGACTGGGTGGCCAGAAGTAGCCAGGGAAGGGCAGGAACATCTAGAAGTTTCTTCCCTCTAGAGAAAAGGTAGGTGTAGTACAAGGCACTGAGGGAAAGGAAGCTTTCTGAACTAATGCTTGGTAACTGTTTCTGCTTTTATCCACACCCTTGTCCCCTAGGAACAAGAACAGCTATTCATTTTTTTTCCTTTCTTTTCCCATTTCCTTCAGGGACCTGAAACAGATGGGAGTGTCACTTCCAGGCCACCAGAAGAGGATCCTGTGCAGCATCCAAGGTTTTAAGGAGTGATGAGTTGTTGCGCTCTTAAGCTTGAAAAATGCCCATTCTTACCAGATATCACTTGGAATCATTCCTATGGCAATTGCTTCCAAATGAGTGACTGGGACAAGCAAAGCAAAACAACCAGAACTGAAAAGCTCATGAGGCATCACCACCTGCTCTCATTTCTGTTCCCCTTTGCTTTAGCTCTACAGCAGCCATCAGTACCTTTCAGAGCACTGGTCATAGAAACTGTTCTCAGCCCTGTCTTCTGCAGTTTATTTTGTGCAGCTCTTAGTCCCTGTAGTCCACATACTGGAGTTTCAGACCTTCAGTATATCACATGGAATACAATGTGGACAGGGAGTGGTGGATAATATTTTAAGATTGGAGATGAGGGTTCAGATAGACTGGGACATTCAGGGACCAGGCACAAGGATACAGACAGGTATAGACTGGGCACATTCACTCCCTGGCATACATTCCTTCTCACTTCAGCAGCCTTCTGTCTTTCTTATTTTACAACAGGAACAAACTATTCAGTCTTTCACCAGGCTGCTGGTAAGGGATACATTTTTGAATTCAGCTATTCTTGCTTTGAACACCAACCTGTGGTGTACTTCTTTCTTTGGAGGAGAAACTGGAAGTAGCAGCACACCCTGCTGTAACTTGCGTGATCATATCACTTCAGCATGTTGCTGTTTTGCACATGCACACGTCACTGAACTGCTTAATAACTTTTCTTATGCCATGGACAGAAAACCCTTTAGGTACCCATTTTTCTCTGCCCCTTTTAAAAAGAGAGAATAGTCTTGTTTGGCTGGATAGGGTATTTGTAACAGAAAAATGTGTAGGTGGTCTGTCTTATTCCTTCTCTATGGAGGAAATATTATTTATCATATCTCAAGACAGTTATAGTCTGTAAATAATATTTTGTAAATAAACCTGTGGCAGAGCAGGCTGTGTTGGAGTTCTTTGGCTTATTTCAAATATGAGTGGGACCTTTAGCATACATATTGTAAGTTCCAGCAGGGTCTAGTGAGGTGTCAAGATATAAAATTGAAGCCAGAAGTGGTGCTGAGATGTAGTCTTCCACTTTCTAAAGTCAAATCATTGGTCTTGGCTTCATGGAACTGAATAATGCTCAGCCCTTCCCCCAGTACCTGCCACCAGAGAGAGGTGATTCCTCCCCTTTTTTCAGCATTGGTCTGGTATCTGAAGTGTTGTGTTCCATTTTAGGCTCCCCAGAAGGACATGGACTTCAGGGAGCAAGTCCAGTGTAAGGCCACTGTGATTTGAAGGGATTAGAGCATCTGACATAGGAGGAGAGGCTGAGAGAGCTGGGACTGTTCAGTCTTGAGAGGAAGTTTGGGTGGCTCTTACCATTGTGTATAAATACCTGATGAGAGGGAGTGAAAAAGAAGGAGCCAGACACACTTCAGTGGTATCCAGTGAAAGGAGCAGCAGTGAGAACACATCAAAATGCAATAAATTCCATTTGAAGGTAAGTAAAAACTCACTGTGATAGTTGTTAACATTGGTACAGGTTACCCAGGGAGGTTGTGGAATTCTTGTCTTCGGAGGTATTAAAAAATACGAGGGAGTACATTCCTGAGCAACTGACTCTGGTTGACCCTGCTCTTAGCAAGGAAGTCTCCTTCCAGCTTCAACTGTTAGGAACTGCTGAGTCAGCTGGGCTGATAGAGAAGAGGCTGTTCAGTTCCATGACTTCAGGGTACAGCCAGTAGCAAGCCTGAGCATGTATTCCCAATAGGCACTCATGCACACAAAATATACAAGTATATAATATGTGCATGTATATATATGCACACACAGTGTACATGACTGGCCTGAGGCAGAGAGCACAGCAGTCATGCAAACACAGCACAAACAGCCTGATCCTATTCCCTTCTCTGGCTGATCAGGATGAACCTGTTAGAGGTAAATATATACATACATACTATGGATCCCTCTAGTGTTCAAGACCAGCTATCCAGCAGCAGACCTGGAGCCTGAGCTGACTTCCTTGGGTGCTGGCACCAGGACATGCAAATCCTCAAGGCCTGCAGGCCTGCTCCAGTGGGGGGCACTCAGGCGTTCACACACACACTGAAGTCCTCCAGCAGTTAACCTTGTACATCGGCTCTACCCAGCAGCTGGCCCCAGGATTCCCTGGTCTCCCAGTCACCTCACACAGACATAGAAACTATTTTTTTTTAGCTGGTCCAGTAGCTGACCTCCACACCCAAGAGTAGCTGGCTTGGACATCTTCAAAGCTCTATCAGTTGACTCTCAAGACTCATCTTCATAGCATCTAGCCAGACTCACAGTAATGCCACACCATGGCTCTCAAGTTACTTTACCCTACTCAGCTACTCTGACTTGATTTTGTTAGTGATTACACAAGGGCATACACACCCACACCAAATGCATGAACTCAGGTCTTTCCAGTTGCTGGCACTTACATCTGCATGCACAGAACAGAGTCCATTCACAGACAACCAAAAAAAAAAAAAAAGCTATTCCAAAGACAGGACAGACTGCCTTAATGACACACAGGGCATGGCCAGACAAGTGTATGTGCAGCCACCTCCTCCTGTGCCCTTTTCCCCTGTTTTCCCATGGTGCTTCCTGTCCTTGATCACTCCCTTTTCCCACCCCACACATCCCATAACACGTGTTGCACAGTCACTAAATGATCTTTCTCTGCACCCCACACCCGTAAGAGGGATTAACCCCCTTAAATTACAAGGTGATCCAGAGACCTTCCCACTGACTCCACTGGACAGGTTTCATACCCAGACACCAGGGCTATGGTCCTCTGATAGCTCTGGGAAGAGCTGGGTTAGGGTGCTTCTCTGCCCCATCACTGTTTCTCACCTCTGCACTCCCTGGTATTTGTGGGTGTGAGATTTTAATCATTTAGTCTAGAAACAACCTCTTGAAATAATGCCTACAAATCAGCAAGAACTCGGGAAAGAAAAGAAATCACATGTACAGTTTGTTTATTTGCTCATCCTATAGAAAACCTCAAAACATTTATTGGATCAATTTGCAGGGAGTCATTAAAGATTTCCCCAAAAGTGGCAAGAGATCCAGAGTAGGTTTCATATCTGAAGTGTAGAAACACTGTTGCTTACCACAAAGAGCAGTTTCACCCACAGTGACCATTACAGTACCATGCTTAAAACCATAACCATCAAGCACAAACACTTTCGATTATCAATCAGGCAAAGCAAGCAAATTGATCACTTTTACTACAATCCACTTTCATCAGACTGGAATACTCAGCTCCCAGTGACGCACCAAGCAGACTACAATCCTGCTGTACTGAACTGCAGACTTCAACTGCTTTAAATTAAAGCTACTCTTTAGGCATAGAAAAACAGGAAACTAAACAGTCTGGGAAGGAGACCAAAATGCAAAGAGAGAAAGGCCATATTCAGACTCGTCCTCTCTGGAGGCTAGGTGGAACAGCAGCTATACATTCTCTATTGCCAAAGACAGCAAATCTCAGGGGTAGCTGAACAAATACAGCAGACACAGGTCAATGGAAAAAACCCACACATTTTATTGAATGCAGACAGTGGTTGGACAGTGTCGGTATTCAAAAGATTTGTTCACTTTGAGAGTTTCTAGTCCAGGAAATGGGACTCAGTGCAGTGACACTTAGAGCCAGACAGTACATTGCAATTACACCGCAGCTTTGACTGAGAGCAGTGAAAGATCCCTACTGGAATGGGGAGACGTTCCTCAGCGTGCTGAATCCTCGTCCAAGCACGGAGACGCCGCCACACCTGTGCTGCACGTCCTTATGACGGTCTTTATTTGTAAACATGATTTCTTTGGACTGTTTTGCTACTCTGGTGCCCAGCCTGGCTGTCCAGAAACCACACTGGGAAATTATTTATTTTGGGAAGGGAAAAAGTTTTTTTTAAAAAAAGTTTCCAAACTCTATAACTGAGTAGGATTTCAAACACTGCCAGTTTAATCTGGCTAAGGAAAAAAAAAAGCTGCAAGACAGTTAATCAGTTAAATCCATCAGAGACAGGAAAGCTACAGAAGGTTAGCTTTTTCCAGCAACAGTAACAGATTCCCAATATCTTCTGCCTCCACACTTTAACCCAGGAGTGAGCAAGGGGGCAGGGGAAGACATCCTGATAATGAGGTGTCAAGATACAAAATAAAATTGAAGCCAGAAGTGGTGCTGAGATGTAAGCTTCCACTTTCTAAAGTCAAATCATTGGTCTTGGCTCCATGGAACTGAAGAATGCTCAGCCCTTCCCCCAGCACCTGCCACCAGGTTGTTCTTGCTACTTCCACCAGGCAGTGGTGGATGTCTAGTCTTTCTCCTCCAGAGTCTTGAAGGAACAGCAACTGTGCACTCACCTTGATCATAGCCCCAAGCCTGGAATATACTGTGGCCAGGACGTGGTGACAGGAGAAGAGGTCTTTTCTTGGTGGGTGTGCAGAGTGAAGTCTAGGAGCAGTGAATCCTATATGAGTAAAAAACTGCACTGGCATAGTCTCCATTGGTAGCAATTTGCCTTGTCAGGCAGAAGGGTAGGACAATGGCAGGGAGGGGAAGAGTGTGAGGGTCTCAAAGGTATGCCCACTCCAAGCTCCTCAGCGTGCTGTTTTTGCACGAACAGTATGACACTTGATACACAGCACATGCCCATCCAGTGGAAAGCACCCATTCTCATCTGCTTCAATAGACAAGGGCTTCCCACAGTCCTAAACAAGGAAAGAAGAAGGAAGGAGCTCAATGACAGTCAATAGCAGGGTAACTGCATTCAGAGATGTAAGAAATGCCCTACCGGATCAGGATAATGCATCACAGCCCACTGCTCTGTCTCTGATGGTGCTAATGGGAGATGCTATTTTAAGCAAGCCCCTTTTGTGGTCCCAGCACATTCCCCTGGCATACACAGCTGCTGTATTAGGGGTGCTAGAGAATACAGCAACCCTCCATAGTCTTTGTTCATGAACCCATAGTCTGTGAATCTCATCTTTTTCTGAACTTGCTTCAAAAATGCTCCAGATTAATTCAAAACAACCTCAGTGTTTGGTCAGGATAAACAACAAAGGTGCCAAGTTGCTAGTGATGGGCATGGGAGAGATGGGAGGAGTGGGCCACCAGGCTTACCTCACACTTGTAACATTTCATGTGGAAATTTTTCTCCAATGCCACCACACGCACTGTCTCATCCTTTCCAGGCTCTGGCATGATAGGTTCACTACAGACTGAGCAGCGTGGAGCATACTTCCTGCAACACAGAAGAACATGGAGAGCATCATGAACACTATGGTGACATTCAAGGCAAGTTTCTCACTGCTGCTCATAGTATCAGGCAGCAGAGGAATAATAAATCACAAAGAAGTTCAGGTGGGAAGAAACCTTAATTGCTACAAGGTACATTGCTGACTCATTTTTAACTTCATGTCCAACAAATTACATGGACAACCCAATCCCATACTGCAGTAAAGATAAACAAGTGTGAGGGAATCTGCCTTCTCTCATACACCACATGCACATTCTCTCTCCATACCTGTGGTAGTCATCCACACAGTGAGGCTGGTTGGCCTGGTCCACAATAAAAGAGGTCCCCTCGAGGGGAGTATGGCACATCACACAGGTGAAGCACTGGGGATGGTATGAGTTACCAGTGGCCTTCAGCATCCGATCTGTGATGGTCTGTTTGCAGACACTGCACTTTTCCAAGGTTCCCTGACCCCAAAGGAAACAAGTAAGAAATGTTAATCCAATCCCCCACACCTGAAAGGCTACACCACAGACAGCCAAGATGGAAAGGAGAGCAAGAGTGAGCAACCACAACAAGCAGAGCTCCTTCTAGCAGCTTTCATCCCACTGACTCACAGCATAGCAGTCCTCACAGAAGGGCTTCTCATCCACATTGTAGAACTGCTGCCCCTGCAACTGCTTCTCACATTTGA